TACTATACCTGAACTGAGGCAATAAATGCAGGGCTTTTAAATGTAACCAGTACAGTATTAACAGCTACTGTTATTCCATCAATTACTTTATGTATAAAAGAATACTTTGCAGGACCAGCATATGATGATATACCCTGCGGGGAAGACATGCTTCTTAGATCCTCACATGTTTCTACATCTATATGGACCTCATCCAAACTCTGTAAATATAATATTTTAATTATAATGTTTAGTGTAATTCAGTATAATATAAACATAATGTGAAATAAAAAAAAATATTTATATAATCAATCAATAACAATTATTTACCAAAACAATAGGAACACTTTTTAGCTTGGTCCATTGTATGCGAAATGAAACTTTATTGCACCAAGCATTAGTTAGTCTTAACCACGATGGCAGCTCTAGTAGATCTGTGAGGACTGTTTCATTAAGTTCTAAATTTGATAATTCTCCTTCACCTTTGAATGTGCTCAAATTTATCTTATCAGCAGATAAATTCTTGGTAAATCTATAATACATAATGTAAAAACTCAATATACAAAATATATCATTTGTCACTAGCTATAAAAATCATAAACTAAATAAATAATAATATACATCATATGTATATATATGTATAAGTTATAGAAAAATTGTTTAATTTGTATACTTTGATAATATAGACAAATATAATCAGCATAGGTATAAATTTTTATGCACAAAGTTATATAACTGTTGCTAACTTATGTGCAAAACTCTAACTGACAGCAAAAAGTACAAAAAAATCAGTAACATATGATGATAAGTATGTCGATTAGAATGAGAGAGAACATTTTCTTTGGTTATTTTCAAAGTTGCTCTACAAACATTACAATTATGCAGAACACATAGAAAAGGAAGATACGATAGCTGTATCGCAACGACAAGATGTACATCTCGACAACAAGGAAATGTAAAGGAATGCGTTACGTGACGTGTGACTCATGAAACGGGCAGATCTTTTTTTTTTTACGTATCACTTGTGACCGTGTTGTAGGTTAATCGATCGTGATTGCACAGAAAGTACCTTGACAGATGTTTCAACAGCTGATTTTTAATAATCGAAACCATCTTTCGATCGTGTCGGCGAGCCTAAATTCTTAGTAGTTAACAAGAGCTAATACGTCTCAACATGGTTAGTTTGACACCACACATATTTATGACGACCTACAACGATTCTGGCTATCACACACAACACACATGTATATGTATGTATATCCTCTATTATATATGTATAGCTCCGCGCGAATGAATGATCACATCTTTATCTCATGCACAAAACTTTCTTCACGGTTGCCACAATTAGTAAGTTGGTACCTTGATGTCTCGATGGTGTTTAGTAGTGGGCGCGTTCAGCGGACTCAATAATTGAGTGAGTGTTCGCTATTATTGGTGCATTCTCCTAGATTAAAAATTCTGATTGGATGATCTAAAAGAATACACCAATAATAGCGAGCGCTCACTCAACTGTTGAGTCTGCTGAATGCGCCCAGTGTTTAGTGGACTTTATCGTGAAGTTGTCTGTAAGTGCGATAATACGAGAAAAGCGAGTTATCGATAATGCATCGAACCAGGAAGTACTAGATATAAAGAGACTCCACTCCGTAAAATAAAAGTGGACCTAGGTTTTGCTAGGTTTCGAGTTCAGTTTTGCCTGGTTTATGCCTGGTTTATGCTTCAGGTCTTAAGCGGGGGGCACAGACTTTTGCATAACGCATAAAGCATGTGCATAAGGAATTTCATTGGTCCATTTTCTTATGCATGAGTCAATGGACCAATCAAATTCTTTATGTATATGGTTTATGCGTTATGCAAAAGTCTGTGCTCCCCGCTTTAA